ATTGTGGCCAGGTGTGGGGGTGGTGGGAAAAGAGTTAAGGAAAAGATGCCTAATTCCAGCCTGCCTGCCTTAGAAAAGGACAAGCAACTGAAGTAGCTGTTCTCCTGCAGCAGCAAAGTGGAAGTGATGTTGTCAACTACTGCTGCACACAACTGAGCTCTTGCTGCTAAAAAAGTAGGAAAAACTAGTTCTAGAGGAAGCTTTTCTAGAAGAAAAACTATCTTCTAGAACCAGAGATCCAGAAACAGGAATATCTGTCAGTGTTTTAGCTGCAGAGGGAATCTGTCTCTGATTTCTGGAGGGAAAAATAAGAAAAGAGATGGGAAATCTCTATACAGCTACACACTGAGGAAGGTAAGAGAAAGGGATGCTGATGGTTCCACCTGCAGCAGCACTTGTTAAAAATAGGAGAGCTCTGGTGGTAAATAAACTAATTTCTTTATGATTAATGAGCTAATAGGAAAGAGTAGGGAATGAGGTGGAGTTAGAGTTTCAAACATTTCTCGAAATGGCAAAATAGCTGTCTGAATTATTCCCTATTGTTATTTGTTACTTTTCACTGTTGAAAATTTGATTCCTGCATCACTGTTTCTACAAACAACTCCAAAAGCTGTTTTTTCTGTGTGAATTCAGCTGATTGGACAAAGCCTAAAAAAACATTTTAAGCCCACTGCAATTATTAAAATCTAATATCTGTTTCTAGCCATTCTGGAACTGAATAAATAGTTAAATTCATCAGGAAATACAATCTTTCTAATGAATTTGGCCAGCTCTAGCAATTAGTTCTAAATTCACTTCTGTAACAGGAACTATCCCCAAACACATACTTGCTTGGTTTTTTCTCAGTAAAGCTGTTTCACAGTGAGAGAAATAAGTATTACTAGAAAATAATTCTACTGTTGGAAAAATTAATCTTCTTGAATAGGCTGAGAATAAATGTAAGTAGGATTATATGAAGGATCAGCTCAGACAAATGACATCAAGTTACTGCATATATCTTCTCTTATGCTTACCTGATCTCTTCCCAGTCACATTTGTTTAGCTCACCAACAAATAGCACATTTTTAGTGCTAGCAGCAACATAGAGCCTACTCCTTTGTGAGAATGAGCTGTACCTCATGCTATTTCATGAATCATAGGTGGAATTGTCGACTAGTTCTGGTTGTGGAAATGTCAGTGATGTTCAGTGGTGACGTGTGAAAAAGATGCCAAATTGTTTTTCAGGTAGTAGATTAGACTGTCTTTGCTAGCAGCTAAAAATGGCGTGTTGAGTTGAAAACTCAACAATGTTTTCAATATCAGAGTTTTTTCAAGAATACTCATATTTAATGCTTATAGCATTTTTTTCTGCCTGTAACCACAGTTTTTTCCTTAATTGCAAAATAGTTTCTGAGCATAACTGTATTTTGAAAAAAAGAGGAAGTTTGAACAGGAACTGTGAGAGCAAGTACGATATTTTATAACTGATGATTGGCAAGCTGACGCTCCCAAGCGAGGTCCCGACTGCTCGCTAGATAGTGCTTTCTTCAGGGACTTACACTATAGTAGTGCCTAAGCACATATAAACTGGAGTTTATCTTGCCAGTCTAGGTGGGACTCAAGTAGGCTTTAACTATATTGCCAAGCTGTTTAACAGTTCTGCAAAGCCCAGAGCAGTGATCAGAAATGTAAATAAAACATTTTTGTCCTAACAATTGACATTTAACTCTTCAGTTTTAAATATGTCAGGAAGTTGCATGGCTGCCGCTCAACTCTAGAGGAATTTGAAAGAGTAGATAATAAATGTGTCTTCATTTTTTCCCAAATAGCATTGTTTCTGTAAGTTAAATGGAAAGAAAAATTTCTTTGATTCTTACTCAGTATCATAATTAACACTAAAATGACTGGGAAAGATCTCATCAGGAGGTTCCTGGATCAGTAACTGTCATACAGATGACCATTTTGCCTGTGATCTCCTTCCACAAGACATTGGCAGAGGGATAAAACACATGTCATAAATCAAGTAAGTGTTTTAGAGGGATCCACACTGTGAAAGACTGCAGAAAAATTGGAGCAGTGTCCTGAAACTCTTCCTAGGCAATACACTCTCCCACTCCCTCAGCCCTGAGCAATACAACAGGCTCATGTCAGCCTTGTAAAAGGCTGTGTGGGACAATGAGGACTATTAGAGACCAATAACAGGATTACCTGGCCTCTGCAGGTCTGGCAAGGTAGGTTCCAGGTAGGGAGGACGCATCAGGACCTCCAAGAAGTTTCCTATCAGATTTAGTGTTGTTATTGGCATTATATGTGAGGTTCATCACTGTTTTGTCTTTCTGCCTCTGCCCTTTCCAAGCCAGGACCATGGCCATCTAATCTGAGCTCTTATTACACAACTTGCAGATGTACGCAGTCTAGGAAAGAAAGCTCTAATCAAAGACACTCTTTACATGAGAAATTTTCAAAGCATGATAAAATTGGCAAAATCGTTGAATGAGAAAAATTGTTGTTATGGTTACCAATGAATTTCAGACAAATAAAAATAACTAACAGACTTACAGTTTGTATCTTGCCCCAACAGTTGCAACCATTTAAAACTCAAGGTAAATAAACTTACATAATGGTTTTGGATAGAGATTCAATTCCAAAATATGGTAGGTAAGTCTGTTAACCTGTACTATATGTTAGGGGACGTGTATTTCCAAAGAATCCTGTGTTTTCTTAAAAAGTGGATTTCTTACTTCAAATGTAACTGAGATGAAATACTTCTTCAAATGATCTTTTTTTTATATTTGCTCAAATAAGGACAAAGGTTATAAAAAATTAAAAAAGTTGACTAAAATTTTAAATTGCTGTCTCAAGTCTCAAAAAATAATTTACATTTTAGACATGATTCTGTCTTTAGGTCCCATAAATTATTGGGAGCACTTTCAATCAGGAAAATAAAGTAACTCTAATTTTCGATATTGAAAGCTCCTGATTTAAAACTACTTTGTCACAAAATAAGAAAAAAGGAAAATACTTTCTGCTGTACAACACATCTGTGTTAACAGATTTTACTTTTTTTGTTGAATATTTCCTTTCTTTTATCGTTTTGTTCCAGAACTTTCCCTTCCTTTTCCTAGACCTTGCTTGTGGCTTACTTGAAATCGTGATGCAGCTCAGGTGGTCTATAACAGTTTAATTAATTTTCATACTTTGTCTACCTCAGACCCACAGGTTTAATTCACATTGGGGGGGGAAAGTTTTAGGAAGTAATATAGGAAATACGAAGTTATAATACAATAAAAGCAATAAATAGTAAGGGGTCAGAGTGGTGCGGGTCTAGGAACAGGTGTATGCTGTCAGGGAGGGCAACTCAGCCAGATGGAGGCTTTCAGGGGTCAGATGGGGATCCCAAGCGTTCCAGATCTGTGCTGCTTTGCAGGCATTTCTACATCACATGTACCATGAAAGCCTGGCTTCATTAATCCGAAAGCCAGATGAGAAAACCTTATGAGAAAAAAGGTATGTGGAACAGGTTTTTATTTCTGGTTTGTGAACAGGATATAGTCACATTTAAGTTAGCAGAAAAGGTTTATATTTGTGAAACTTGGTTATTTACCTAGGGATATGTTCAAAGGATTTTGCAGGTAAACAGAAGCTCACTCTGCCTTTACTCTGAACCAGCCAGAGGCGTGCTAATCCCAATCCAAAAGCCATGAAAGTGTGACTATTATAGGATCGTGCTCAAGCTAAGAAGTAACCTCAGTGTCATGCTAACCATCACGACATGCATCAAAATTGCCTGACTGGCTCTCACCGAGAGCGAAATGACCTGCAGTATTCCTGCAAAAGACTGTGCAGATGTACCCTTAATCAGGATGATTTATTTTTTTTTAATTTTTATTCTAGTATCTCATCCAAAAAGTAAATAGTATAGAAAATATTTTTAAAAGATTAAATATATATAAACAAAGTTTTATCTTGTTTTTAACTGAAAATGGCACTTCATAAAATATTGATGTATTATTCCCTGACAATACTATTCTCTAGTAGTCTCTAGTAAGTTTTACAGGTATTATCTCAATGATCAACTTCCTTATTTTTATTATAATCATATTAATGCTTTATAAAAGGATGACAAGATTTTGTTAGTTCATACTAATCTGCAATGGAGATGCAAATTTTGTACTCCTTCCTGGATTTTCTCCAAACTGAAGATGTAAGAATAGAGTTTTTAAAATCATGATTCAACAAAGCTCATGTGCTTAGCTGGGTAGTTTATGTTGCAAGAGTTTTTTCCAGTTCAAATAATAAAACTCTTCACTGAAAGAGCAATGACAACTGCATAACTCTTGCCTTATGTTTTGAAGAAAAGCTATGCATTTCATATGGTTTTACACCAGAAGCAGATTTTTTTCTTGTACATACTTAAAATATTGTCCAAGTTTTTTTGAGGGATTGGGTTAAACATTGCATTTTCCCTGAATCTGAAAACCGAAGAAATTTTTTAAGACTAAAGTTTTTCGTTCTAGGCATTTCACATGGCTCTGTTGATTTTCCAGTTCAGGTCATCACAGTTCTTATACAAAGATGAAATATGTGTCATGTTGAATTAACTCTGGAATATATTTTGAATATTGCCATGGCATGTGTAGCCCTTTCAACTCTGAATCTTTACAGTAAATATTCAGTGTTTCATCTTTACTATTTTAACTCCATCTGACAAAAATGTAAAAAAAATAAAAGCAAGCTTGAAAATAGACTGCATTGTTGCTCATCTCATGCATTCTTAGCAGAGGAGTTGTGGAGCAAAACAGAAAAATATATTTGGCTAGACAAGTGCCTCTTCATTTGTACAGACCACTTATGTCAGACTCAAAAAACACCTAACTTTATCTAAAACTCAACCTGATCTTATGTGGAAATCTCTTTTGGGTGAGAAACATTTGGAGGGGAAAGCAAAAGTAAACAAAACTAATTTTTGTGCAATTTCTTTTACGTATTTGTCTTCAGTTTTGCTTCCACTAAAATTAGGTGCAAAACTTTTTTTTTTTTTCAATGAGGGCTAGAATGCCTATACATAGATACTGATGGGTCAAAGAACAAAAATTGGAGTGCAAATATGCTAAGACTATTGTTTGTATTGCATCTGCTTAGCATTGCTGAGTTTGATTCTTCTGTGAACATCTTAAGTGATGCAGGAACAACTTCAGCTTCAGGATTTTTAGGGAAATGTGATCTTTGGAAAACTGTCTAATTCTGGTAGTTGTGTATGTATTCTGCATAGTTAGTGTACAAATCTCTTGGAGAAACAGAAGGTTATTATAATTGTATGCTTCTGAGTTTTCCCTCCATTCTCTTTCTTTCCCAATAGGGTGGAGTGAATGGCTTGACTGGAGAACTGGAATTTGCAGAAAATGGGGGGAATCCCAATGTGCATTTTGAAATTTTGGGGACAAATTATGGAGAAGATCTGGGCAGAGGCATCCGCAAGGTGAGGCTACATATATTCAAACCAGAGACTATTTTTACTGATTTGTTTTTTTAAAAAAACCTTTGTGTTCCATGTTCATAGAAAAATGTTTGATGGCAGATAAATGTGTTCTTGTGTATTATTAAGAGGGGTAAGAAATGGGAGAAAAGTCTTGAACTCCTGGATACCCACCTATTTCATTATTGCAAAGAGGCCTTACAGTAGGTTGTGTTGATCAAGGTGGTGTTTCTATACAGAATGTGTTAAGCTGCTGGTTGGCTGTCCCAAAAGACCAGTGAAAGCTGTTGTTTTGTAACCCTTGCAACCCATTTCCAAAATAGCAAATTTTACATTGAACTATTTTTAGAGCACTCAGATTGGCACTTGATATTTATGGTCAAAGTGGGATGCTGCAACTGCTAGATGATTAAAAGTCATAGGTACAGAAAGAGAAAATCTGTTGTAACAGAGACAAAATTTCTGTAATCTCTTGTCTTCATGAAATAAGTACACGATGTTTTAGTAGAAATTAACTTTTACGGAATAAGTGTAATGTTGTGTATTCAACTGCCGGACGCAGTCCAAATACTTAAACTTAGATTGTTTGAGGAAATCTCCAGCAAAGTTACTTTTTCTTGGTATTTCAGTTTTGCTAGTCTGTAAAAATAAATTTAAGTCCTGTGTAAGGAATGGTGGAAACAGGTCTCTATTCGCAATGCAGAGCCTTAACTTTGGACAGCTGTCCATCTGGGATGGCAAAAGTAGTAAAAATCGTATAGTACCTCTTGGGAAAGTAAGAGACTAATAGGCTTTTTGAGGAGCAGCTCTCATGTAAAGACAGACCTCCTGAAAGGTAATACCAAGATCTCTTCATTTAGTGTATCAGATCACACTGGTTTTTATATGTGAGGAACCTGAAGTGATTGTCTGAAAGCAAATGACAGAGAAAGTTATCTTAATATACGTAAACTAGTTCCATGTGTCAGTGTCACTATATGATGAAGTACATCATTTGTCTGCAGACCTTCTGCAGTAACAGATAAGTGCTCTGAAAGAAGGGAGAGATAAGTAAGAAGTTAAAAGTCTAAACTCCTGAAATTTCTCCTCTGCTATTCATCGGAATTGTTATTCTGTTCCTGTCGTTTCATCTGTTGTCAATACCTTAATGTACACATGTGCCTATAGTTATGTCACCGTGAGGAGAGATCCTGACAGATACTTTGGAAACCAAATGGAACTGAATCTTGTTGATATTTGGAGGTGTGCTTCACAAAGTCTTTAGGCAACCAGAATTTTTGGATGAGTTCTTATTCCCTTACCTATACATTCAGTCTTTTTCAACATATTTTGACTTGATTTATTTTCTATGCAATGCATCGAGGAGCTGTTTATTCTTTAGAGCAACCAGGTGGTCCTTCCTGAGACAAATCTGTATCTCTTCATTTAATTTAATTGGTTGACTTTGGCTGGTTTTTGACTTCAAGCCTGTCTGGGTGAATGCCAGGGTGAAGCATTAAATTGTGTTCTTCCATTTCACATAGAGAAGAGAAAGAGAGACGTACAGAAAGGTCTTGGAAATTTAGAAGTACAAAAAGATTTCCTAGCCTTTCTAACTCTTTTCCGATGGTATAATTTAGATTTATGGTTCAAATTTAAACTATGGTACAGTTTACTTTTACAGGAGAGATTAACTACTATGGGCATGTGTAAGTTGTGCAAAACAATGAGATAGTACAAACAGGCTTTTTTGAACCTGCCTTGTTTACCCTTTATCATAGTACAAGGACAAAGTGACATTCACCGTCTTTGAAAGGAAATGGATTTGAAGTTTGTCAAAGAGAACAGAGTTTTGCACAGAATATAATTAGTCCATGAAACTCAGTGTCACAAGTCCCTGTTCAGGAGAAAAGCAAAGTTAAAAAGTAAGATCCTGAAAGTATTTTTTTTTTTTCTGTTTGCCAAGATAAGCATTTAAAATTGAATATAGAGATTATAAGGAAAAATTTGTGTTGAAGGTTGCACTATAAATGTCTGTCGTTAGAGTTCTGTGATGTGCTGCAGCTGGTTAAAAAGAAGAAAGTGTCCAGAGCAGAACAGATTTAATCTGTTCCAATTTTTTTTTCTAAGCATTCAGTGATCCAGAGAAAGCTTTAGAAAGAGTCCTGGTGTGGAGAAAGGAATTTTCTTTAGAATGGAATTTCTGTGTATATTGTGAGAATGTGATAATTGTTCTTGGAAGCGTCTTTCATAAAAAATTCAAAGTAGTTCCATTTAAATATTGTATTTTTTTTACACTAGATTGGATAGTAAAAGAGTTGAAAGTAAATATGGTATTTATAATCAGTGTCACAAAGTTAAAAAAACAAGCTGGGGATCCTAAAACTTGTACAAGAATATTTTTTGGGGGAAAAAAATGCCATATGTTGGTTTTACTCATTTGATAAAAATTCACATATTTTATCTTTGATTAGGTTTTACTTTACAGTGTATGAGCCACTAGTGTTGGAAGCAAATCACAATAATTACAAGAGTCAGATATATTTTTGGTAGCTACACTAATTAAAGTGCACTTCAGATTTTCATGTATTTAGTGGTCTGACTACAGAACTACCTAACCATTTTTATTTCTCAACTCTAGTGGAAGCAGCTGCAATTAGCAGACTGACTGAAATTTCTAAACAACTGCATCTTCCCTAATTAACATATTTCCAAGTACTTTTATAGGACATAATGAAGGGTGAAATCATGACAAAAGGCCCATTGAAGTCATTGGGACCAGAGGTTCATACCAAGTCAAGTGTGTAAAGAATTTTATTTTTTTTCTCCTGAGGAACAATCAACTGATTTTAATTAAAGCAAGTAAAATTTTAAAACGCACTTGAATTTTTCAAGAGTCCAAATTCTGCTTGAAGTCGGTTCTCTTTGGGTTCCATGATAATTTGCTTACTTCTGAAACCTTCACTTATATTCACAGATTAATATTCCTAGGACTCGAAAAAGCAAACGGTTTAGGAAACACCAAGAATTCATGTTTGTGTTTGTTTTTATTGGCCAAATTAAGCCATGTATCTAGCAGAAACTTTCTGCGAGTCCCCTCCTTCAGCTTTCATGGGCTGCTGTCATACTGGGAAAGCAGTGGGAGCATTCATGTGGAAGTTCATTGTGTTGGGGTCCTTCATCTAGTGATGAGTTAGCAAGTTCAGGAGAGGGATTTGCCTGAAATACAAATTTTGTACCGTTGTGTCTGTGAATGCTATCCATCACCTTGCAGACCACGGATCGCTTAGGCTATATGTGTTGCCAGAGTTGGGTACTTGGAGTAATACAGTCAGAGCACTGCCAGATACTGATTTTATTGATACCAGTGGTGTTACTATCCCAAAGGAACTGTAGAAAAACTCTTGCTTTTACACATTATGCTGTGGCTTACGTTTGCGCAGATATAGTTATATTCAGTGGGAGACACGGGTGTATTTCTGACATTTCTTTGTTGGCATTTGTCTATTGGTATTTGACATTTGAGTATGTATTCTTTGACATTTAAATTTCAGTGCAATACTTTTATCTACACTGTTAAAATAAAAGCTGCCATTCCTGTGAATAACCATCCAACAAACAAACGAACAAAAGGGAGTTGATAGCTCAGAGGAGTACTGTCTTATATCTTAGCGGTGTAGAAAACAGCACTGCACAAATAGTGGTTTTAACATTTCTTCCAGTGCTCCTTGTATCAGAATGAGCTCATCCTCAAAGGCCCTGTGCTACACCTTTTGAAGTTTAGAGGACTTTCTTCCTGTTCCCACACTCGTTTTCTTACCACGTGTGGACATTTGGAAACCGCAGTGCATTTTGTTCTGTCTCCATTTCCCTGTTAGCATACACCCGCCTCCTGTGCGTTTCTCTTCTCTTCTGAAGATGGTTTCTGTCACGTCCTCCCAGTGGGGGAATGAGATGTCACTCCAGGCTCTCGCATCTCTTCCTCTCTGCACCAGGATGTCCATGTCAGGGCTTTCTTTGCATTCAGGACACCTCAGGATGCCTTGGTGCAAGGATAGAGCCGTGGGCATGCAGGAAAACAGATACCCTGGGTGGGGCACCTGGGTAACCCAGGATGCTTTGAGCCCTCCACCTTTGTCTGGTAGGATTGTAGGGCTCTGTCCTGAATGATTTTAATTTGATGACCTTAAGGAGGAAATGTTAATCTGTTTTAATCTGAGAGATATCTGTAGCACAAAGCATTTCATGTGAATGTGATTGAAGACCTTTGGCCATAACGCCTCACAGATGTGATGTTCCTCTCTCCTCCTGCCAGTGCGAATGGCAGGACCTTCCCTGCGGAGTCAATGCATGCAGGTTTTTATTTCACGGATTATTAAGGGTTACAGGGAACATTCTATAGTTGTATAATTTGTTCAGAGATGGGAATATTGTATTGCGGTTTTTGTTTTCATTCTAGAAAAATAATTGCTACTTCCACGTCATCTGAGAATAGTTGTTGATTACAGTAGTGTCATTGCTTTGTTATCTGGTATATAATTTTTTTCTTACATTTGCATCACGAAGCAACATATATTCCATGTGTATATTGTGATCTTGGGGAAGTTGCTGTCTCTTCTTACAAAGTTAAAACTTATTTTTTGCATCTTTTATTTCTTATTCTCCTTTGGTTCATTAGGTAAAAAGAAGTTATACAGCTCTGCTGACACTTATTAACTAACACCATTTAATAACCAAGAGCGGTCAAAGTGTTTGCTTCTTGGTTAGCTGCTTGAGGTAAATGATGGGTTCACCTGTTCCCTTTGTGATCGTGATCAAAGGTAGAGCTCTGTAATGTGATTTTTAAAATGTTTATATGTCAGCACCTGGTACTTTAAGCTGTGATCTGTTTCAGCTGTCTCTAAAGGTTGACATGCAATTTATGATATGACTGAAAGATACACTTACAATTTACAGAGACTTTATTGATGGTGTATTTTCTAGTGAGTTGAAAATGAATGTTGCTGTATCTGACTGCTTTGCCT